CAAACACCAGTGATGCCGAATTTATAAGACATATTAATGAGGTGATGGAAGATTGCTTTTCTGAAAGCGGCAACAATATCGTTATTGGCGACTTTAATATAAATGTCAATACACACACAACATACTCGAGCCAGCTAATTAGGACGTTCGAATCACTAGCAATGTATCAATTAATTAATTTTAATACAAGAATAACAGAAACAACGCAAACGAGAATAGATCTACTCTTTAGTAACAAAACTGAAGTTGAAGTATCGAATTTGGCTTCGCATAAAATATCAGATCATGAAACTATTTCATTCAAACTACCAATTCAAAAGAAGTACCAAATGAGAATTTATGAAAACCGCGTGTGTTGGAATAACTATACAAAAGACCACTTAGTAAATCTCCTTAGAACTTACAATTTAGCTGAACTAAACAACTGCGAAGTTAGCCTAAAGGTCCAAGGAATAAACAGTATCCTCAATGACGTAATGGCCACTTTAACATATAAAAAACGAGTTCAAGTTAAATTGATTAATAAATGGTACGACCATGAACTAACAGAATTGAATAAGCTGAAATATGAACAATTTAAAATAGCAGAGAGAACCAATAATTGGGATAACTATATTATAATAAAACGATATTACAAAAAAGCAGTTAAAATAAAAAAGAAAACATTTATGGAAAACGAAATCTCAAGAAATACTAATAACCAAAAGTTAATGTGGAAATGTCTAAAAGACGCCATAAATCTGAGTAGTAAGGTAGCACAAATTCAAAAAATTTCTGTAAATGGTGCTCTTATTGAAGATGATTATGAAATAGCAACTGAATTAAACCGTTACTTTAGTGAGAGCATAAGCAGAATCCGAGATAGCATTGAAATCTTCGAAGCAGGTGGAAATCAAATGGAGATAAACAGAAGCTTGTTTAAACTGAAAGAAATAGATGTTGAAGAACTTATGAGAGTTACAACGAAATTAAAAAACAAATACGGAGGAAAAAAATTAGTAACGGAAGGTGTATTAAAAGACAGCATGGAGTACTTAGGCTATACCTACACATGTGTAATTAATGAAAGTTTCCAATTTGGTGTATTTCCAGATTGCTGGAAGACATCAGTAATTGTACCTGTTGAAAAAGTAAAGGGAACAATTAAGCCAGAGGAGATACGACCCATAAATACCTTACCTAGCGATGAGAAAATAATAGAAACTGTAGTTAAGAACCAATTGCTGGATTACTTAAATAAATACGAAATTATTATAAATGAGCAGTCAGGGTTTAGATCAAAACACTCGTGTGAAACTGCACTTAACCTGGTAGTTGCAGAATGGAAAGAAAGTAGAACGAAGAAACAATTTACAATTTCAGTTTTCCTCGACCTAAAAAGAGCGTTCGAAACAGTAGACAGAGATATTCTTATAAAAAAACTGTATAATATTGGCATTAGAAATATAGCGCTTAACTGGTTCAAAAGTTACCTTAGTGGAAGAAAACAGAAAACTGTAATAAGAAGTAAGACTTCCCATGAAGTGGACATTGAAATAGGATTGCCACAGGGATCGGTGCTTGCAGCAATTCTTTTTATAATTTACATAAATGATATTAAAAACTGTATCAAATACTGCAAAATAAGATTATTCGCTGATGATGCACTTTTGACTATAAGCTGTAACACGATTGATGAGGCAGCCTCAAAAATACAGTCGGACCTACAGGCAATATATAAGTGGTTGTGCCAAAATATGCTTAAAATAAACATAGAAAAGACAAAATGGATGATAATGGGGTCTAGAGTGACTCAAGATGATAATGTGTCGCTAAAAATAGCAAATACCCCTATAGAAAGAGTAAACCGAATAAAATATCTGGGAATAATTATAGATGACAAATTAAAATTGGATGAACATCTAAAATACATTGAAGGGAAAATTTCCAAAAAAATAGGGTTCATGTTTCGATCATGCAAGCATATTAGTAAGCAATACAAAATACTGGTCTATAGATCCATTATCGAGCCGCATTTCATTTACTGCCCTACAATTCTATTCGCATTAGCTGATTCGCAAATATCCAGGCTACAAATTAAGCAAAACAAAATTATGCGTTTCATATTAAGAAAACGGTATGATACCCCAATTAAAGATTTACTTGACAGCTTAAACTGGCTTAGTGTAAAACAGAACATGACTTACTACACATTGAAGTTTATACACAACATAAAGTTGGGAAACCTGCCGAATTACCTAAGTGAACGTGTCAGACTAAATAGAGAGGTCCATAGCTATCAAACAAGACACAATAACAACTTTTACTTGCCGGTAGTGAGATCCGAATTCGATAAAAAAAGTATATACTACGATGGAATTAGAGAATATAATGATCTGCCAATTGATATTAAAAACTGCAATAATACCAAAAAATTTAAAAAAATTATTATACAGCTACTGTAAAGCGCTACCTATCAAGTAGTTAAAAATTTTTAGTAAATAATTTTATAGATTATTAGATAATTGAAGTCGAAGAAATTTAAAGAATCGAAACAAATATGTAAACATTAAAAATACTTTGTACCTTATTAAATTATCTAGATCTTCAAGATCGTAATAAATAAATAAATAAAATAAATAAATAAAATTAGTGCGCGGCCTATTTTCAAAATCGGATGAAAGAAAAACGTGTCCCAAGAGCCCTAGAGGTGCACACGTTAATTCATTCAATTTTACATAAAATAGGAAATAAGAGTTACAAAGCAAAAGCATCGGCTAAGTTCAAAGCAAGATCTGTTGTTGATGTGATCAGCATACATATTTCCAACGTTTCTTCAGAGAATGAAACTGGAGTGACAGCTATAAATTAGATAATAAACAATAAACGAGCGGATTGGAATCTAGGCCTTTCCAACCGTTAACCGTCACGAAAGCGCGACTGGGTGGATCGGAAACTCGGCCTTTCTGACCACCCAGGAGATATCAATAAATGGAGTAACCCAAAAAGAATAGCGCGGATTGGAAACTCGGCCTTTCCAACCGTCTACATAACTTCCAGGAAATTGCATGCGTGTATAATGACATAAAATAATTGCAGTGATAAAGAAATAATGTTATTTAAAAATTTCTGTAGAGCATTTTGTATTTTGTATTTAATATTTAATATTTATATTATATTTTAAATCTAAAATCTAATTATAAGAATGTTAAATCTTTGTTGCAATATAAGTCTAACAGACTGTAAAAAATAAATAAATAAATAAATAAATAAATAAATAAATTTGGGTCGTACCGGTTATACCGGTTACGTAGAACCAACTTTCGTGGAAACGAAGCATATATGTATGTAATCAATCTACCTACTACCTACTTAGCTATAAAGTACTCTAACAAAATCAGTCCAACGGTATTTGGGTCTACATTTATATCTGGCCAATAACTGTCAATCCTCCAGCATTCCTCATAAACTATGGGCTGGTTACTCCAACTCAACTTAGTTTAGCCAACTTTTTAGACTTCGTCAAGAATAAGCTGTGTAAAAAGTAGGCTAAAAGCTCAGTTAGTCTAGAGTCGAGACTTAACTTAATTTAACTTACCGTAAGAAATCATCAATGATTACTCAACACGTCAACTTAAGCCAAGAGCGGAAATATTTTGTTTTTGTATTTTCTCTTTCAGCTGTTTAATAGTTTGCCGCCTAAAATGCCAAATGTTTGCTTTTATTTATTTTTAAGAAATACAAAAACGAGAGTCTGACATTCCCGTTTCTCTCACCGCTCTCAATTTCCGTAAGGCCGTAATCAAAAGGTCAAATTAGAAGCATTTTGTCGATTACCGGAGCCCTCAGTGTTGTTTACTACAGTGTTGCCACTCATCATTGCCTTTTCATAACCTTACCTTTTCAACTACAATTTTTCGTGCTATAATAGATTTTAGCTAAATATAAACTAGTTAGTTTTCAACAAAAACCTTATTCGATAGTAAACTTCAAATATTTTAAACGTATTTTGAATAGGAACTTATAACTTTTTTACCATCTGCAAAACTGACGACGGGGCAACCATCTATAGAAGGAAGAAATCCGCTGACACGGAAAAATCTAAATTCCGCAGATTTCTGCGCTACGGCCTACAACTACATAAAAGTTCTGCGGTGTTGAGTTTTCATTTACATGGCGCTCTTGTAAGACAGATCGTGTTAGCTGACGCGGGTTTAAGTACCGGTAGGTTTACGTTCTCGACTAATTTCACCTTAAGAACCTAAAATCTATAGGTTCTTAGGTTTCTTACGGTAAGTTAAGTTTTAATTAACCGCCAACACAGTTTCTCATATAACAGGTTGGCCAAAATATTACGTTAAGTTACGGAAATTAAGTCTAGACTAACTGAGCTTTAGCTTTTGACTTAAGTCCAAAAAATGTTTAAACTAAGTTAAGTTGAGTTGGAGAAACCAGCCCTATGTTTACGTCACCCAGCGGGGTAACTAATTAATACATATATGTTTATGTACATGCATGCATGTAGTAAATGTGGTAATTTTACTGCAAGAGGGTCATAATCAAAAAATAATAAATTAAATATGAATTAATGACAGACACCCACCCCTTCTCCTATGTTGTGTACAATAATAGCTGTATCGATTAACAAGGCTCTTCATTTTTAACATGGGGGCAAATGTAGACCGCAAATTTTAAAGCAGTTTTTGTCGAGTATTTGAATTTTTGGACTATGAGACGCTTGCAGAAAACTTACGATATAGCTTATTATTCCTCCCCCATTTTATACCAAAAAATATCAATATTCCCTCATCGTACGCCATTCAAATATCTACATATACATACATATTTACACTAATCGGTTCACTGCTGAAACCAAAAAACACTAGGAAATTTTTAAAATTCGTAGGAAAAAGTCCCACAACAGCTGAAAGCAATTGTACTTAACTAAAAATCTTAAATTATGACACTCTTCCTCCAAACAGTCGTACACATATACTAGATTTTTTCAGCTATGTACTTACTTGTAGATGAGACTTCCTGAGTAGCGCTCGAACCATTTTCTGCAGCAGTGGCTGCATCTGTGACGACGGCAGCGGTATTGTTTTGATTTTCCATTTTTCAACGAGCTCGCGACGTTTACAGCGTTTTATTTGCGTCACTAGTGCACAATCCGGCGCGAAAGTCACTCAATAATTTTATTTTTCTATAATTTGACAATTTTCTGCTGGGCTGCTAGCAAACCGAAAAACCACGTTTTTTCGCCTCTTTCCTATTGTACGTAGCGGCATTCGTCCCGTCCGATATTTTTCGTTGTTGTGCTCTTCCCACCAGTGGTACTAAGCGCACTGTACTCGTACTTGTACGAGAATGTCTAATATCTTTATCTCTTTTACGCTGCTACACTCCAGGAAAGCTAGTGGCCTTCTTTAGACTTTTCTTACCAACTTTTTTTTTCAATTCAACCGAAAACGGAGTGGCAAAATGCAATCTTCTTCGGCTTCTGAAACTTTTCGCCAATAAAATTATGAACGCGAAAATTGTTAGCACTAAATCTCGTCGTGCGGCTTTTTTACTGCTTTTAGTTTCTTCTTTTCAACGAGAGAAAATTTGTTTTTTGGGGGGGGGTTGACAGAAATATCACGTCAGCTGCAGAAATAGAATTTCTTGTCTGTGCGATGCAGAGCTGGAACGAACTGTGACGATTTTCACCTATTTTCACTTGATCTACCAAACGCTGACAGGGCTGCCAACCACTCTTAGCTATGGAGTGCCATATTGAGAATAAAAAAGTGTGCCGTATATAAATATTTTTTGGCGTAATTGAAAAGATAAACCAGTTGTATAAATATAAATTATAGAAATTAGAAATTTTTAGTTCAGAAAACGAAGTACACTTACCGGATTTCCCCAAAAATGTAATAAAATGTTAGTATTTTTCAAAAGTGTCATTTTGGCACTTAATGCCAAATTGAAAAATTAAGTGCCATTTGGAGTAAGAGGGCCAAAAATGGCACGGTTTGAGCGAAGCTGGCAGCCCTGAAAGCTGACATCATGAAATTTCACCGTGAGTGTGGTAAGTTCAGTGAGTATGAGTGTGATAACACTATAACTGTTGAAATGAAATGGCCGATATAACGCACCACGAAAATGTGGCCAAGTTTTTAAATGTCGTCCTAAAGCCCTATATGCAGCTCTCAAGAAAACGGCCAAGAAAAAATCTCCATTATTTCGCGTATGTGTCCAAGGAATTTTGACATTTTTGATACCTCACAGCCTGTTGCCTCACTCTTTCCTCAAGAAATAATGGAACGGGCATATGGTAGAACCGTTCTCTCAATTTGTCGGCCATGATTTTTTTTTGAAGTTTGCCAACATTTTAAAATCATATAAAAGTGAAAATAAAAAATTGAAATTCTTCGAAATTGTTGTTGCTTGAGATCAAAAATGAAAATGTGTGTGTGAGTTTGTGAGAAAATTTAAAAATTAAATTGTTTGGAAACGTCAAGAATTTTAAAAGTGACTCTCAGCGGTTATACCTTACTATGGCTGCGTTTCTTTATACATTCCGGATAATCCAATTTCACTGCCGGAATAAACAGAATGCGTTTGAAATATACGTCAACATATCATCAGGAACGTTCTAAAGAATAAATAAACAAAAAAGTTTATTCCAAACGTTCAGAATGAATAAAGAAATGCAGCCTATATTTTTATCATGTATTTCTGTTGCAAACCTAGGTTGCCTTGTGCTCTTTTTTCACAAAAAAACTTTAGAAAACCGTAGTAGAAAGAGTAGTAAATTTCTTAAGAACTGCGTACTGCCTTAAGGAAATTTGACTCAAGAAAATTTCTTAGCCATTTCTTGTACGTCATTTTATATGGAGTTTTTGCTTTTATTGACTGCCCGTCTCCACAGGATAAAGTTTATATCTTGATACATATGTCAGAATATAATTTGCCAATGGAGACCGCTCATTGTTCTTCGAGAGCAATATATATCAGAGCTTATATCTTGCCATCTATTGCCGGCAATTTGGTAGTTTGACAGCTACATTTTCATTTGCACGAAAACTTCGTGGCTGCAACATCATTATTATTTTAATATAAAAGCAAAAATTTAAATTATTTGTAATTATGTATTTGGTTGTATAATAGCCTATTTTTTAAGTTTTTAAGCGATTAAATCCGGCAAAAATACGTTTTCAAAGCTATCATACAAATGCTTATATCAAGATATAAAAAAGCCCACACAAATATTGCCACTGATATAACTTATATCTAGAGACCAAAATGACAGCTGGGCGGCAATAAATTTTATCTTGTGGAGATGGCCAGTGAGAGCTGCATACAGGCCTTAAAGCTGAAATTAGTCAAGAACGTAGAACGTATACTTAGGGCCAGTTTTTCAGTGCCGGTTTAAACTTAGATTAACAACTTCCCTGTCCAATGAGTCATATGTGACTCACGATAGCGTGTTGAAATAAGGAGTCACATGTGACTCATTTTTGTGTACAATTTCGGCCAAATTTTTGGTGTAAACGGTACACGATATTTTTTTAAATGATACGTGGACGTACGGCAAAAAACCTAACGTAAAAATATATGAAAGAAAATTTCGAGATTTTTTTCCTGAAAGTTCTCTTTTAGTAAAAAGAAAAAGCGCACTATAAATATAGGGTAGGTTAGGTTGCGCATTTTCATTTGACCACTCATTATTTCGTATTTATCCATCGAGTTTCTTCATCAGTAACCTGATTTTTTTTTGTAACGGAACAGGCAACAGGAAACATGCAAAAATTTGGCACATAACTGTTTTTTTTTTTTTATTTTTCTTCTGTTAAAGTTTGATTTTTTAATTTTTTCATTAAAAAATAAAAAAAGCTGGAATGATTAATTTGTCACAAACTATAAGCCCTATCGGAAAGTGATGTATATACGATTTATGGAGAATTTCATTGGCTTTCATTTTCCGTATTTTATGCTACGATTTTTAAATTGGTTCGTAAGATATACGTTATTCAAAGGAACCAATTTTTGCTTTAAGCTGAATAACGGTAAATTGCAAATATGTATTTCGAAAACGTGTCCATAGAAAAAAAATTAACCCGAATTTCGGATTCACCGAGCAGTTCTATATAAAAATTGGATAGTGGTGTCTGGAGACCAAATATCAAATTAAAATTTGTGATCCAGTGTAATTGAATGATTTTTCTCAATTCTACCGCATATTAAAAAAATTAAGTTTGCACACTGCCAAAGACCGTAAATTGTAGGTTCATTTTCTGTGGATAGCCTATAGTGCAAATACTTTTCCAGTAGAACTCCACACCAGTTTTTTAATAAAAGGCTGGTCACCTGAAAAGCTTGTCGAGTTCTTGCAAACCACTTGTAAAAGAAAAAAAGTCCTGGGGCAAACTTATACCGATGCATTTAAGAGAATACTTAGGTTTGATGCACACAAGGGTTTTTTTATACTGCTGCACCGCTGCGCTTCCACGAGTGCTTGCTACAATACAATAGATCAAATTTTGGCAAGTGTGCATAGCACAATTTGTTCTCGTACAAAATAAACGCTTTTGGGTATCGAATCTAAAAATTTTAAGTAAAATCGTTTTAGAAATTTTTCTCCAGAATAACAATAATACCTTACGGGGATTTTATTATCTGCGGATTAATTTAGCATGATTATAATGTATACACATGACATTCCTGTTAAAAATTAACTCTCTAGTGATGTTGTATGCAAGTCCCTCAGTCATTGTTATTTTTCGTAGTATGAAATTTCTTAATTTCTAATATTAATTTTTATGTAAATAGTTTCTACAGACTATCACTATAATGTTTTCTGCTTGGCTCTGCAGTGTTGAAAATATTATTTCAATTAAATCCCGAAAATTAAGCGCAAGCAAGAAATAGATAGTGTATCAAATCACAGGAAAATTAAGGTGTGGGATGGTAACATTTAATGTAGCCACACCTCATCGTATGGCTTGAGCCATGTGTAATGGTGTCACCATAAGGGTGAGTTCAGCGTCTTTCAAATTGGCACCACGCAAATTTGCTTCCTGTAAATCACTGCCAGATAAATTACAACGTTCCAAATCGGCTCCTGCAAGTACAGCGGAACGCAAATTGCAATTCTTCATGTTTGCATCCTTTAAATTGGCAACACGTAGATTTATTCCTGCCATGTTGCTACTTTCTAAGCAAGCACCTTTAAGATTGACACCTTCAAGATTAGTACGGACCCCAGTCGGATCCTCAAAGTTACATCCGCGTAAGTTGGCGCCCTCCATATTAGCGCACAATCCCTTTACTGAAACGAGTTGCGAACACTCCAAATTCGCATAGGCCAAGTCGGTGCGTTCGAGACAGCAATACGTCAGATTAGCATGTGATAAATTACACCGTTGCATACATGCATACTAATAGCAGATAGTTAAATAAAAGTACAAAAACTTTCAAGATTCTGTTAGGCAAATTACATATTTTAATAGCGAAACCTACCTTAAAATTAATATTACGGAAATCAAGCTTTCGTAAATCAGCACCTGCCAGGTTAACGCCCTGAAATCGCAACTCACTAGCATGGGGTGTTTGAATCAATGCTTTAATAACATCCCGTCGTGTGAGTGGCATATCGTCTATGGGTCGATTGATTTGTGCAAGTTGGGGTTCAAGTTGACTTATAAGCGAATAAATTCCAAAAAACCTCGCTTCTTCCAATACACCTTCAAGGCTAACATGAGCGTCCACAATCAGTTGCCCATGCCGCAAGTAATTTAGAATTGGCTCAAAATAGTGCGCACTGCGATCTATGAGATAAGCACCTTGTTCGTCTTGTTCACTAGGCAACATTCCATCCTGCGAAAACATGCGCGCCAACATACTATCGGGCTCTTTACTAACCAACGTACATAAGGTGGTCACATAAATTTTTCCACCAACATTCAGCTTCACCCACTTCGATGACGGAAATTTGTTACAACTTTCCCTAACTACTTCAGTCGCAGACTCCATTCCGATAGTTGATTGGTTCGTGGTTATTGGAGACAGTGTACTAGCTCCAGTTTTATTTTTACTGGCTACTGATTGCTCCATCTCCCGAAAATTGCGTATATTTTTATAATATATTTACTAAAGATAGAAGATAAACAAATGATCAGACTGAATTAAGAAAAATTAATTTTTTTTAATTTGACATTTCTCTTTCACTGTTAACAGTGTTTGGACTTCCCCGTTGTAAGGTCTATTCATGCATGAAACAATGTTACACATGAACCAACAACTACAGATCGCCTTAGTCGACGTTCAGACACGAAAATTTTTGTTGCGGAAACTCGAAGCTTGGAGGGAGAGAGCGACGAGGAAAGGGGACGGGTACCGAGTCGCCCGTACTCGGGAAATACGCTTTGTGCTCTCGTTCGTCTGAGTAATTCAAGTTGGCGATTCACAGCTGACAACAACAATTGCGTACAAAAGTGATTCTGTGTGTGAATGCAAAGGGCAACACCAAAAGAGAAATCGCCGATAATAAGAAACTCGAGTTTCCGTGTTTGAACGCAGACTAATCAGCCATCGTTGTATTTGTAATCGATTTTCAGAAAAAAGTATATCGCCATATCGATTTCATATGCAATGAATTAAATCGATTCATGATATCGATACTTTCTTAAATATCGAACATTCCTAGCTTCAATTACAAACGGGTACGTAAGTTCTGCTCATCACTATGCGCTCTCCCATTGAAACATATGCATTTGAAATCGACGCTTTGCTCGATGCTCTTTGCCCGCCGCTCCACTATTGTTGGCTCGGCTGTAGAAGTGTGCTTGTACCTTTGTGTTCCCTTGTTGTTGACAGTGTGTTAGTATCTTTATGTTATGTCTTTTATCGATAAATTTTATAATTCCATCCCCAACCACACGAAACTAAAAAGTCAAAACCTTCTAGAAAAGAAAATTAATTGTGGTTCTGGAGTTTGATTTTAAATGTTGATAGGAAATAACGCGCACAATTTCACGATACATTTTCACGCCATATATACGGCAAAATTGAAGTGAGCTTTTATTTGACCTCGGCCAGGACCTAATTCTGCAACTGCGTTTTTGGCCTAATGCTTTCACCACTCCGCTATTGCGACTCTTTGAGCGACGCGGGCAAAAGGCAAGGCGAATTTATACAAGGAGGTGTTACTGGCGAATTTAAATTTTCACAACGGTACTTCTTAATGTAAAAATAGTGTGTTTGTTGTAATATGAATTCGCCTTGTTTACAACAAACACATGATTTTGGCATTAATAAGTACGCGGCGAAAATCTAAATTCGCCAGTAACACACCCTTGGTTCATTGGTTCATGCGCTGCACCGGGTGTCCGAGCACTAAATGTGGTCGTGGTATGTGGAATGTCACAGAAACGTCAAAAGAAAAAAATAGCAAATTTTCGCAGCGATCCATTTAAAAAATATATTTTTAAGTAATTTGTATACTACCAAAGCGATTATGACGGCAACTGTTTTAGATCGAGGTGGTCAGCGGGGTGTTAGCCGTGTGCTGACAAAGTTGGAAAATTCAATAGAGTCGGGAAACTACTATGAAGCACATCAAATGTATCGTACATTGTACTTTAGATACACTGGGCAACAGAAATATACAGACTGTCTGGAGCTGTTGTGGAGCGGCGCAATGAAGCTCGTCTCTAAACAACAAGAGACCAGTGCCGCGGATTTAGCCCTTCTTCTTATCGATACATTAGAAAAGCGTGGTAGTGCTGGAACTGAAGCTAGTAATGATGGTGACCTGTGGATTGATCGTTTGGCTACTATTATTGGACATCTCAGCGCTACAACTGTTGAACGCGAAACTTTGGTCGTAAGTCTATATTTTGTTTCCTTCCACTTTCCCATTTATTGGGTTGGCTTTCCTTTATGGCCGTTCGTTAAAGGGGCGGTGGGCGAAAGGTAAGTGGGCGTGGCACCTCTAACCCACCTTTTTGGAGAGGGAATGAACCGTCATTAACAAAAATGCAACCCCCGACCACCTAGGTCCCGTATGGTTCCCTAGGGACCCCTTAAAAAATTGCCAAAAATCACAATTTTCATTTAGCGTTTATTCGCTTGAAAAATGTTAAATATTCATTTGCACAATACATTTTTATATACAAGACATTTTTATATACAAGACATTTTTATAAAACACCCAGTAACCAAAATAGACATCACGGGGGCGGCAGCCCCAGGTTTACCACACAGAAAGGGAATTCTAGTTACCTCATCCTTTCCCCAAGGTTACATCACTGGGGCGGTAGCCCCAGTTAGGTCACACAGAAAGGAGAATTCTACGTAGTAAGGGTTATAAATTATTATTATAACTTATAATCCATAAGCGCGACTGCAGGCCGCCTACGCAGAAAGGAATTCTACGCAAAAATACTGCGGACGCAAGTAAAAATTGCGATTTTTGGCCATTTTTCTAAGGGGTCCGTAGGGAACCATAGGGGGGCTAGGTGGTCGGGGGTTGCATTTTTGTCAATGGCGGTTCATCTCCTCTCGCCCACCGCACCTTTAACGAACGGCCATAATGGAAAGTTTCCCCCATTTATTTCTTATATTGACAAATTCTTAGAATCGTGCAATAAAATGGAGTAGCGATATGTCCGGAAACACTTTGGGACATCCTAGCATGCATAAAGCTATTGCTCAAGTATTTTGGGCGGAAGGAAATTATGAGCAGGCACGTCATCACTTTTTACTAAGTCGCGATGGAAATTTGTGCGGACGCATTCTGATAAAGATTCATAAAAACAAAGGCTATGACAGCGAATTGGACTTGTTTATAGTGCAAGCCGTACTACAACAGTTATGTTTAAAAGATCGCAGAACATCCGAAGAAACGTTTATTTCCTTTACCACAAATCATTCGGATATCAGGCGTAAAGAAGCTCCTTTTAAACAACCACTACTCAATTTCGTATACTTTTTGTTTCGCTGCATCGATACCGGGCGACAGGACGCTTTTCGTGCTTTATGTGACCTGTATAAACCGTCTTTGAATAGGGACCCTTCCTTTGAGAAGTATTTGATAAAAATAGGAGTACATTTCTTCGGTGTTGCACCGCCGTCTACTATGGGCGGTGGCGGTTTAATGGGTGGAATGTTTGGTGATTTGTTTACACGATTGTTCCAGGGGTTTGATGATGACGACGACGAAAGCGAAAATGGCCCACAGCCAGCTCCCTTCGGGGATGTACCTAGACGCACTGGAGGGACAGCAAATGCTGCAGATTTAGACTAACATCCAATGACTTACTCGGTAATGGATATTTGCACAAAAATATATGCGGTGTATTCTGATTTTGTGCAAAAAATAAGATTTAATAAATTAAACCATTAACTTCTGCATGTTAAGTTCAAGTAGCTTTTTAATTCAGACTATAATAGGAGAAATTTTAAATACAATAAGTATGGGTAAGTGATCTTGAAACAATTATTCCTTAAAGTAAATCAAGTCAGATTTTGATGCCGTAATTCTGAACACTCTTATGGCCCTATTGTGTATGGCGACAGATAGGCGATGGGCAATCACATTCTTTAATGTGGCTATTGGCTAATAAGTCTAGTAGGCGAATATTCTGTTTCCCGCTACGACGATTTTTATATTTGTTCACATAAATTGTTAAAACACATCGGAGAAAATTTGCCAATTAGGTCGGTGTTGAGCAGAAATTTTTTGGCAAACTGCGTGCAATTGTTGTTGCAGCAAACTCGGAGAGAGCGAGTTTGGCGACTCCCACAGCAACCTAATTTTGTTTGGTCAAACTGCAGCAAATTCGGTGTTGTCATATACAAAAATTGTAGACAATTGTTCCTATACACAAAAATTGTCGTGATACTGAAAGCCAGAGAACTGAATTTATGCTGTAGGAGCTTCAAAAATTAGGGCACAGTTAATTGCCTATACGATATGATAAAAAATATATTAATTGTGCGCGTTATGTACATCTGAAATTCCCATTTCGTGTTGGCAATAGCCATGAGAACCATAACGAGCGTGCAATCCCGTACCAAACTCGACATAACCACCTCCGAGCAAACTAAGCAGCCGCCATTTAATTTGGCAACCAAAAGTTTGTCTGCATAACACCGACCTTAGTAATCGCTATACATAATACAAATTAGGATACTGGTAGCCCTGGCAACTAGACCCCAGCCGCCTCACATGATAGGGGCATTAATGGAGACGCGACTTAATACATTAGTATAATTTAAATTAATAAACTTTAATAATATTAAATAAATAACATTTATTCAGTGAATGAGAAATTCTAGTATGTATCGCATTTATATTTTTAAGTAATAACTCAGGCCTTCCAACAAAAGACGCGACCAAATTATCTGAACGAAAATTCATCGACTATAATTCGGAGTGCCCTTAAAAAAAAAAAAAAAAAAAAAAAAAACGAAATAATTAACTGCAAATTCATTTGCAAATTGCTTTGTTTTACATAAAAGTCACAATTTTAAAAGATCTATTGCTTACTTATAGCAGCAATAAATTATTCGGTAAACGAAATTGACGTAAACTGTTTTATTTTAAGGCTTCAGAAATTTTATCTATCTGCGACTTTTACCTTTATCTCTGACTTTCGGAAGATGTTCAAGTGTTGACAAAATTGTGGTAGTCACAGAGCTGAAAAAATACAACAATATTAAATACATAATGCTCCATTTAACCCAATTGTTTTTAAAACGCAAGGATTTTGACCCACCTTTTCTTCTCAGTCACTCCGAATTTGTGATGAAAAATCGTCTTAATTTCATTAAAGCATAAAAATAATCGTAATACATAAATTTGTATGTACTTAGTATCGCTAAAAGTATAAAAACCATAATTAAGACTAAATCAATTTTACATAGCGTATGTGGCTGAATTGTCATTTGCATTCCAACTACAGCTAGGGCAGAATTCTAAAGAAACTTTCCCTTGCCTTATATGTAAACAAACGCCTGCATCTGCTTCTGTATTTCCTGTCGGAGACATTTGACTGAAATCTGCGTAACTATGATCTTCAGTAACCGTAGTTATTTGTGTATTGTCTTTTGTTGCAAAGTCATCATCTAGTAGATCGGACCATGCATCATTAAAAACAGACGAAGGTGCGAAATCTGAGGAAAAATTTTCAAAAATGTTATACAATTGCATTGTATTTTCGGGATCATAAAACTCCTCTGAAATGCCTACGCTACCATTATCCGAAAGATGCGACGTGGGAGTTAGATTTTGATCAAAGCCTTTTTCCAACCCATTTTCCACGCTGGCCAACTGCTGCAAAATCTGTGGTGATGGACACAGCTGTCGACTACAATTCGAATGTCCTGGTGAATTCAACATTGGAGAATTTTCATTTGCAGTTTGCTGTGCATGCATTCGAACATTCAGAGCTTTAATAAGATTCTCTATTTCTTTGTGATTTGCTATAACGCTCTGAAAATACCTTTTTTCTCGCTGAAGTTGATCAACTGCTTTCATCTGCTGCTTCAATGCCTTCTTCAGTTGTTTGTTTGTCAACCGCATTTCCTCCAGTTCCTTCTCCATGGCCTGCAAATGCTCTTTTTTCTTGCGACGATTTTCTCGTGCCAACAAGGCATTCCGGTTATGTATATTCGGGTTTGGGCGTCTTGTGGGCATACGATTTCGCCGATGATTTTCTGGACCGTTTTTCACAGCTGAAATTGTACTATCTTCGCTATCGCTACCAGAATTAGAATCCGTCGAGCCATAAATGAGGCCATTGTGCTGCAACTGCTTTAAATCATCCATATTTTTGGGCCCCAAGGAATCGTTTTTGGAAAATTTTACAAACAGGAATCTTGTTTATTATTTTGACACAGAAAAAATGGCCGCTACTACTTTACCTTTTTAATTCCTATTTTAATAATTTTAATCAAAAGAAATTTCACTTAAATTACGCCACAGACAAAAGAAAATGGTGGTCAATCGATTGAAGTTTTTTATACATGGTTGCATTGGTGCAACACTCAGCAGGAATGGAATATGAAACTCTCAAATTGTATCTATTTGAGGAGAAACAGGCAAATGTACCTAAAACATTTGAAAAGAAATATCTGCCTGCGGTACGTTCGAATCACAACCGAAATTTGATAAAAAAAGAGGCCACTGGAGAACTTTTCAGGTTTTGTCTTCACCAGAAAAAGCTTCAATAAATCTAGTAACAATTGGAAATATTTTCAAGTCCAATTTTGGTAATTTTTCCTAATGGCTGCATTTCTTTATTCATTCTGAACGTTTGGAATAAACTTTTTTGTTTACTTATTCTTTAGAACGTTCCTGGTGATATGTTAACGTATATTTCAAAGGCATTCTGTTTATTCCGGCTGTGAAATGGGATTATCGGGAATGTATAAAGAAACGCAGCCAATGTATTTTGTTTGTGTAAAATAACTCAAACCACCGAGTAAACTACTAATTGGTACTCGGTAACTTTACCAGCTGTGAACGTTCTTTTCAGCTTTATTTTGTTAGTCTGGTAAACTATGTTTATCAACAGCTGAATCGTAGCTTCTTTCAAAAAAAAAAACATATGTAAATAAATAGTAACAGAAAATTGTTGGAAACGGCAACGGGCGCATTTAAAATTGAATAAAAATCAAACAGGATTTCAGTTTAGCAACTACCACAAAAATTATCAAGCTTTAGTAACGCGATAATTCGGTAACCGATATACCGATAATAAAATAAGCTAGGTGTCGTTCATGGCTAGGTGTGAATACCTCTAATGTTACAGAAATAAAAGCTCTGATCCAGTACTCCATGAACTTACAGTTTTTACACAAACTTGCAGGAAAAATGATTCCGTACTCCGAATCCCTCCAAAATCCTGCAAATAAGAGCGATTTTTGGAAAGTTGTGTAGAGAATGAAGTTGCAAGATTTCTCCCGAACTTTTTCTTCTTGAAAAATCATGAAAAGTGTCAAGCGATCACTGGTTGACGTTTTTACAGGAAAAATGCTTTTGCTTTTGCTTGTGCGTACGGTTCAAATCGCAGCTCACAACGTCCGGATATTTATATCCACGTATCCTATGGGTAGCAACCAAACACCCGTTTGGGAGCGAGCTAAAGTGAGAAGGCGTAAAACTTCGCGGGCGCTGGGTTTGGGTCCCGCCACGTTAAAACCCCGCCCAATGAAAAATAAAAAACAGCCTCGGATGAGACCACGACTTTCTGATGACGACCCACAAATCCCCCCTAAACGAAAGAGGATTGACGCCGCTTTATGAAAATTTACCCCTCCCCCCAACCCCTCCCACAGACCTCTGGGGAGCTGTTTGAAAATAGGGGAATTTTAGATTTTTTGCAAGGAAAAAACAAAGTTAAACTTCCTACCGCCTCAGTGATGTAACCTGGGGAAAGGATGAGGTAACTAGAATTCCCTTTCTGTGTGGTAAACCTGGGGCTGCCGCCCCAGTGATGTCTATTTTGATTACTGGGTGTTTTGTAAAAATATCTTGTTTATAAAAATGTATATACAAATTTATAACAAAAATTTGCAACAAATACCATATTTCCAACCGACATTATTGTTAAATTAGTGCACAGATTTAGTAAATAAAATTTTTGTAATAAAGCGGGAACTGTTGTCTACAAGTGTGTGTAAAAGTTTGTTGATTCGATTCACGCGTTTGGGCACAGCAACCCAAAATCGTTGTACAAATTCATAAACAGTACCCATAAAAAATCCTCGGAGAATTTTTATTCATGATAGGAGAAAAGGGAGAAGAGAAAAAAATCCCAGGGAGTTTCTATTCAGAATCGGCTTAACTCCGTACACTGGCATTTATTTTATCAGCAAACAAAATGCGTGGCAACATTGACACGAATTTGTTGAGAAAGTATAAGAAAAAACAAGGAAGCAACGAAACATCGAAGAAAGAGTAGAGCGAATAAAGATCGGACATCGGACATCGCAGCGTCGCTGAAGGCCAAAATTCCACAGTAGCATCAGTCAGTAGAACTTGTTGAATACTTTTGGAGATTTTAAGTTGTTATATAGAAAGATATTGAAGACCACAGTATAATACACCTAGACGCGTATAGATTTCACGCCCACTCTGAGCAGTGGAGAGTGCAGTGAAAATATAAAATGTATACACGCGATACAGAATTGCGGCGACTGCAAACTAATGATGTAAACCGGCTGGCTGAAACACTGGGGTTCGATGGTGGGCGAAAATTGATGGAAACTATACCCAAAAATTG